AGTGTGTGACCCCAACATTTGATATTCCTGATATGTGCCTGCTGTACCATGTACTTGTATTAACATGTAACTGGGGCAGCACAGTGGCTAAATGGTTAGCACTTCTGCCTGGCAGTACTGGGGTTGTTGGTTCGAATCCCAGCCATGGCACCACCTGCCTGGAGTTTGCATGTTCTTCCTGTGCCTTCATGGGTTTTCTCCGGGTACTCTGGTTTCCTCCCACACTCCAAAGACATGCTGGTAGGTGAATTGGATCCTTTCTAAATTGTCCCTAGTATGTATATGTATGAATGGTAGTTAGGGACCTTAGATTGTACGCCCCTTGAGGGTTAGGGACTGGTGTGAATGTACAATATATATGTAAAGCACTGTGTAAATTGACAGTGCTATATAAGTACCTGAAATAAATAAACATGTATCCTCTTCTCTTTGCATTTCTTTCTTTGTGTGAAATACCTGGTGATGCTGCCAGTCCCCTGCATTCCTATTTCAAACCCTAGGCATGGAAGCACATTCATCCCAGTGTGGTCAGTTTCTTCTATGTATTCTTTTTGGGAACACAGCCTGCCAGTCCTCCAATGGATAGACTTGTGCTGACATGCCCTCCTGCACAGCTCCTCACTGGGAAGATCAATGTGCTGCTATTTCTCTGCCTCGTGCTGACACATTCCCCTGCAGTATCCACCCCAAAAAAAGATAAGAGTTCACATACTTTAAAACTGTAAAATCTCACAAGTAAGGTACTCCCAATTCTCTTGTATTGATTTACATTGTTACTGTACTGCCTCCTTTTACATTGTAAAGTGTTGCTAACTGTTGGCTCTATATAAATTAATTATTATGCCCACATTCACCTAGAGTCTGATTCAGGCCTTTTTGTGAAGCCAGAAACAACACAACCAGGGCTATTAAACTTATTCATATGGGTTGATTGAAGGCCATTCCCACGCTCCTTCTATCTATGAATGCTGGGAAGGCCTTCAATCAAATCAGTGGGAATTGTATTCACTTAATCCTCAAACATATTGGTCTTCAGCCTAAGATGTTACGTTGGATAGAAGCTTTATGGTCTATCCCTACAGCTTCAGTTAAGACTGATGGCATCCTTTCTAGCCCCTTTGAAATATCAAACGGGATTAGATAAGGCTGGCCATTTTCTCTCTCATCTTCAACCTGACCCTAGACCGTTTCTCAGGAAGGTCCAGTATAACCCAAACATTCAGGGAATATCCCTTTATCATTACTTAACATAGGGTCAATGGTGATGACTTGCTCTTTTTTTTCTATATACAGACCTTCCATTTATCATTCTCTTACCTGTGCATATTGGACAACCAGAGAAAGTATTTCATACCGCAGAGTTCAATGTTGGTTAAAGGATTGGTGAAAAGCTGAAGGTTTTGGTTATGTTAGTCATGATGCTATCAGGTGGTCTGACACTGATCTGTACAAAAGAGATAGTCTGCATCCCTCACACAAGAGCACTGAGCTTCTTAGTATAGAATTTAGGAGTTTTTTTGGACATGCATTTAAACTGAGAAATGGGGGCAGAGATATAATTGTTGAGGAGCATTTCTGTCCCCAGCAGGTTGAAACAAATGTGAGGGTTTGTGTTGCTAAGGACTGGGCTGATGGGGGGGTCAATTCAGTTAACGTAGATAGCAGTATTTGTCATGTCTTGTGCACTAATGCTCCTAGTTTAGGCAACAAGCTTTGTGAGCTGATAGCTCTTATGTCTAGGGACAACGTGGACATTGTTGCAGTTAGAGACGTGCTTCAAGTATTCAAATGACTGGGAAATAGCTATACCAGGGTATAGACTATACAGGAAGATAGAGTAGGGAAAAGGGCAGGTGGAGTTGCCATATTTGTCAAAAATAGCATAAGGCTAACATTAAAGAAGAGTTCCACTCAAAAGCGGAAAGCTCCACTTATTTGCCTCCTCCTCCCCTCCACTGCCATATTTGGTACTTTTTTGGGGGGAGGGGGGAGCGGGTACCTGGTTTTGACAGGTACCCTCTCCCACTTCCGGCTCAGTTCGCCGTGGCGAAGTGAGATGGAAGTTTCGCCCCCTCCTCCCTCCCGCAGTCTCCTGGGAACTTTCATAGGTCCCAGGAGACTGCCGGACCAATTAGGAGGCGCAACACGACTCGCGCATGCACAGTGGGCACCAGGCTGTGAAGCCGCAAGGTGTCACAGCCTGGTGCCCACAGTTGAGATGCCCGCGCCATGGAGGAGAGAAGAGGAGAAGGGACTGCGAGGGTGAGAACAACACTGGACTCTGGAACAGGTGTGTGTGTGTTTACTAAAAGTCAGCAGCTACAGTTTTTTGTAGCTGCTGACTTTTAATAAATACAAAAAAGGCTGGAACTCCGCTTTAATTAAAAAAACAAATGAAATACTTGAAACCCTCTGGGTCTGCCTTCCAACCAGAGAGGGATCTTCCATTAGAATTGGTGTAATATACAGACCCCCAAGACAGACTGAAGATTATAAGTTGTTGACTGACAAGATAACTCAAATGGCAATGAAGGGGGGGGGGGGGAGTTTATTATGGGAGACTTCAACATGCCTAACTCTACCAGGAATTCTCAAACTGCTATTACAAACAGGAGCAGGGATGCAATGGAAGCACTGATTGGGCTTTCTCTAAAACAGTAAAAGGTCCAGCTTGAGGTGACCATATTCTAGACCTAGTATTGACAAATGGGGATCGACTGTCTAATGTTGAGGTGGGAGAAAATTTGGGTTCTAGAGATCACCAATGTCTTTGGTTTGATATTAAAATAATAACTGAAAAATCATATACAAAAATAAACGTTTTAGATTTCAAAAAGACAAATTTTGCTGTAATGGTTGAGTTTCTAAAAAAATTGTTAAAAGGTTGGATAAAACGACAGGAGTGAGTAATCAGTGGGTTCTGGTAAAGGCTACCATCCTGGAGGCAACTAGATTATATGTCAGGCACATTAGTAAGAATAAACGAAAGAAAAAAACAATATGGTTCACTAAAGAGATAAGTAGGATAGTAAAGGAAACAAAATCAGCATGTAGGAGATTTAAGGAAACAGGAAGTGTAGCTGACAGAGAAGATTATAAGAATAGAGAAAACGAGGCCAAACACATTATCAGCACTGCCAAAGCACAAAAAGAGGAGGAAATTGCTAAATCTATTAGGAGAGGAGATAAAACCTTTTTTAGGTACATTAGTGATAGAAAGAAAAAATACGACTGGATCACTAAAATGAAAACTGGGCACAAAACTTATGTTAAGGGAGACCTGGATGTAGTAAACCACTTTAACAATTACTTTTGTTCAGTCTTCTCAGAAATAACTTATACTAACAATAATAAGTTAGGAAATCATATTGGTTTTAGTAATGATAGTTCATTTTTAAGATTTTCAGGAACAGAGGTAGCAGAGGAACTGCCTTGGTTAAAGATTAATAAAGCAATGGGTCCTGATGGTATTCATCCCAGAGTTTTAAGAGAACTTCCGAGGTATAGTTGTTGGACCATTAACTGATCTTTTTAATCAATATCTTCTAACAGGAGAAGTTCCTCGTGACTGGTAAACAGATAATATTATACCTACCCACAAGAAGGGCAGCAAGGTAGAAGCTGGAAATTACAGGCCAGTGAGTTTAACATCAGTTGTAGTCAAGTTAATGGAATCACTCCTAAAAAGAAGGATCACTGATCACTTAAAACACACAACTTTCTGGATCCAAAGCAGGGTGGCTTTACTGAGGGCAGATCATGTCAGAGTAATCTGATTGAATTTCTAAACTATATTACCAATGTTTTGGACCAGGGTGGTGCTGTGGACATGGCATATCTTGATTTCAGCAAGACATTTGATACAGTTCCACATAATTTAATACAAAAGTTGTACAAGCTAGGACTTAGCCCTTGGGTGGTTCAGTGGATATGCAGCTGGCTAAAGGATAGATACCAGAGTGTTGTTGTAAATAGGGTTCACTCGGAACAGAGACCAGTCATTAGTGATGTGCTGCAAGGCTCTGTACTAGGTCCTGTTCTATTTAATCTATATGTAAGTGATATAACTAAAGGTTTGTTGGGTAAGGTATGTCTTTTTGCTGATGACACAAAGGTGTGTAATAGGGTTGATATCCCTGGAGATGTATGTAACAAGGAACCTGATTTGGCATTGCTGGAAAATTTGTCAAAAAAGTGAAAATTGCAGTTCAATGATTCTAAATGTAAAATAATGAACCTAGGGGAAAATAATCCCTTGAAAGAGTACAATATTGGGGGTACATTGTTGGCCAGCACCACAGAGGAAAATAATTTGGGGGTGCTTATATCTTATGATTGCAAAATGAGCAAATAGTGTGGCCAGGCAGTGGGGACAGCAAATATAATTCTAGGATACATCACTGGAGGGTTCACCAGCAGGAAGAAGAGAGTCCTGATTCCTCTATGTAGATCTTTAGTTAGACCTCATTTAGAATACTGTGTCCAGCTCTGGAGACCTCACTTACAAAAAAGATATTGATAAGATAGAACAAGTCCAGAGACAGGTAACAACAATGGTAAGAGGTCTGGGGATAAAACATATCAAGAGCGACTTCAGGAACTTAAAATGTATAGTCTGGAGGAAAGAAGGGAAAGGGGAGACATGATTGAAACCTTTAAGTACATCAAAGGGGTGAATAAGGTTCAGGAGGGCAGTATTTTCAACACGAAACCAAAATCAAGAACACGGAAACATGACCTTAAACTCACTGGAGGGAAGTTCAAAACTAATCTCAGAAAGTACTATTTCACTGAAAGTGTAGTTGATTCTTGGAATAAACTTCCAGCAGAGGTATTGAGCCAGTCAACAGTAAATTACTTTAACCAACTCCTGCCCGCCATATAGTAATATGACGGACGCAAGGTGGTTCTCTCGTTCTGGGAGTACGTCATATGACGTCCTCCCATTCTCACCACGCATGCGCGGCTCAGGGAGCGTGCAGCGATCGGTGGTGCGATGTGTCCCTCGGACACAGCAGATCACTGATCACGGAAAGAGCCGAAGATGTCGGCTCCGTCATGTGATCATCTGTGTCCAATCACAGCTGATCACATGTAAACAGGGAAATGCTGGTTATCGGCATTTCTCTTCTCTCGAGCTGTCACGCTGACAGCTCGAAAGGAGAGGAGAGTCGGTAATCGGATTTCCGCGGAGGGGACATGTACACTGATTATCAGGGCACTGATGATCAGTGTGCCCTGATGATCAGTGTAGCCCCAGCAGTGCCACCTGTCAGTGTCCATCAGTGCCTCGTGCCAGTGCTCATCAGTGCCTCATGCCAGTGCCCATCAATGTCACATATCAGTGCCCATCTGAGCTGCCTTTCAGTGTCACCCATCAGTGCCAGTCAGTACCACCTATCAATGCCAGTCAGTGCCGCCTATCAGTGCGCATCAGTGCCGCCTATCAGTGCCAGTCAGTGCCGCCTAACAGTGCCAGTCAGTGCCGCCTATCAGTGCCATGTATCAGTGCTGCCTTTCAGTGCCCATCAGTGATGCCTGTCAATGCCCGTCAGTGCCACCTACCAGTGCCTCCTCATCAGTACCCATCAGTGCCACCTATCAGTGTCCATCAGTGCAGCCTATCAGTGCCCATCACTGCAGCCTCATTAGCGCACATAAGTGAAGGAGAAAAATCACTTATTTGCAAAATTTTATAACAAAAACTAAGAAAAAACTTTTTTTTTTCAAAATTTTCTGTGGTTTTTGGTTTGTTTAAGAAAAAATAAAAAACCCAGAGTTGATTAAATACCACCAAAATAAAGCTCGATCTGTCACAAAAAATTATAAAAATGTCATATGGGTACAGTGTTGCATGACTGCGCAATTGTCATTCAAAGTGCAACAGTGCTGAAAGCTGGAAATTGGCCTGGGCAGGAAGGGGGTATAAGTGCCCTGTAGGCTTGTGATTAAACATACTTGGGACAAACATACGTCTATATTCAGACAAAAAAAACACACAAAAAACCCCCCAAAAACCAAAACACCTGTATAGTGGACTGGTGCAGACACATCTCTCACTAGCACTGAACAGGAATTTACTACCTTTCCTTTCCAGGGAATACCCTGATCCCCTATAGAATATCACCTTCCTCTATGTACAACCCTGACTAGAGGGCCTACCATGTCAGTTGCAGCTAAATATCTCTCTGAACATTCCCCAGCCCTTTTCTCCTCACTCCGGTCATTGGACTCCCCATGTTCCAACTGGACCTGACTGACACTATTTACCTCCGCTGGCTGATGGGACATTGAGAGCTGCTTATGTCAATATTTCTGGCCAATGGGCTGCCTGCAAAGTTGTCCATATCACTAGGGTTCATGCAGAAATTTAAACTTTCAAGGTTCCTATTTTCCTCGCTCCACCTGCAACCTCTTTTATGTGCCAACTCATGACATTTGAAAACCTATGTAACAATAGTGTTCTAATCCCACTCCACTTTATCCAAAACAAAAAATAAATTTGCCTTTAGTTATACTTTAAGTTGCAAATACTTTGCAACTTGGGAAGCGTTTTTTACCGCTTCCCAAACGCCTCTGCCAATTCTGCACATGGTGCTGTTCTAACGGGAGCGTTTGCATCACGTTGCGTTGCGTTGTGACAAAACGGACGCCTCTGGTCGAGTCAGGAGGTGTTGAAGCCTCTTATTCTAGTCTATGGTGCCAGCCGGGCGTTTGCGGTGCGGTTGCGACGCGGTTGCGACGCGGTTGCAGGGCGTTTGCGGAGCGGTAACACCATTCAAACTGCATTATAGGCGTTTGTGGGGCGTTTTTAACGCTCGGCAAACGCCTAGCAACCTCCGCTAAACCGCACATGCAGCGTTTGCGGAGCGTTTGCTGAGCGTTAAAAAATGCTCTGCAAACGCCGGTCCAACGCTTGCCAAACACTATAGGGGCGTTTGGCAAGCGTTGGTAAAACAGCCAAGTGTGAACAAGCCCTAAGTGTACACAGCGAGAGTTTGTCTGAAGATTAGTCATCATGTCCAATCACAGCCCAGAGCTCTGTGTTGACAATCTAAACAGGGCTCTGTACAGAGGGAATGATCTCTGTTTTAGCCGGGGGAAGAAACAAAGAGATTTTTAGTAAAAAGCAGCACCCACACACCTCCCAACTTTCTGAGATGGGAATGAGGGACACCTATAGGCAAAATTATGTATTCATAGGACATACCCCCTGTCACACCCTCTTACAAGGAAACTTAATACACAACAAATGATTGGTTAAACCCACAAGTGGTTTTTTTTTTACCACTACTATTCCTGTATATTGGTTTGAATTTACTGTACCCTTACCCTGTGCATTTCCCTATAAATAAAAGAATTGAGAAAAAAATGATTGTGCTCAACCCTACCTAGGGGCAGTAGAGGATTGTGGAGAAAATAATTACTGGACATTAAGGGAATTAGATTTGTGGTTGGGGCGGGAAGAACACGCAGTTCAGCCATGTTTTTACCACCCCCTACTTAAAGTGTTACTAAACCCTGGACCCTGCATTCACTATAGCTGGTCTCCCACAGTAAACACAACATGGAAGTGCAATTATTTTAGTAAATATAAACTGCTAAATCCCTTTTCTCATTAGCAGTCAGCGCAGTCTTGTGACTTCAGCTGAGCACTGGTTAAAGCTTGTAGAAGGAGTGTTCTTTCTGCTCTAGAAGGATGTAGAACCCCTGACCGTCTGTCTGGACAGTGCTGATTGACCCCATGCTGATCACATGCACTCTCCCAAGAAAAAATAAACGTCTCTAGCAATACACACTAAACTGAGCATGTGCAGAAGGGCTACGGGTTCAGTCTGTCTTATCAGCGTGGACATTTGAACAAGAGGAGGGGCAGAGAAGACAGGATCAAACAGCCTTTTTACATAATGCAGAGGATTAACCCCTTAGATTCCACAGTGAGTATAACAAGCATTCTTTACTGGATATACAGAATGATTTTACTGTTGTGGGTTTAGTAACACTTTACGCTGCAAAGGCAGTAGATGGGGGTGTTCACATGCCCCAAAAATGATTCCCCCATTAATGCTGCACCACCGTGCCACAACTACACATGCTAGTGTCGGGGCCTCATTCACTTTAATGGGTCATGTTCGGCAGTGTCACTGGCTACGTATAGCCTTCTCACTGCCCATCAAACGCCTGTGATCTGAAAGCTGATTTCAGAGGTGCAGCAATCTCGGCGGACACACATCTAATCCTACCCTTACGTTCTCTCCTGACAGCCAGTTTATTACTTTGCCTGGAATGTTATAGATTTGTATACCAATTCCTCCCATCCGCAGCAAGTGCTTTGGTTTAGCGGTGTGGTTACAATGTTAATTGTTACATTAGATATGCAGATTAAGTCAGGCGGCAGTACAGGCTGCGGGTTCACCGTAAAATCCCATTTCCATAAAACGTGTTGGAATTTCCAGAGCGAGCCGTTTCATAGCAGCTCAGCCTGGGATTGCATCATATTTAATGTGCTGAAAGCCCTTCCATTTTTCAATGTTAGTGGAGCTTTATGTAGTGTACAGTTTTGTTTTGCTTTATCTGCCATAAACTTCTCCCGCTGTTTCCGTTGATATTTTAATTCGTAATCACATGGCTGCTGTATACCTTCTGCTCAGTTCTTCATTCACTTCACTCTGCTGACATCATTTATACATCTTAGAGACAGGAGCAGAAAAAATGGCATCAGCAAGAGGTGAACCCATCAACTGACTGATACTTCTCTTATCATTTGTTTTTATTTGTTAAGGCTCCATGTACACTGCAGCTGATAAACTCACGTTTAGGAGCTTTTCTGCGTTTTTTTCAGCAGCCCCTGAACTCTCCCTAATGTTTTCCTATGTGTCCATGTACACACAGTCATTTACAGGCAGGTGAGTTTACAGTTGTTTTTTTTGAACGCACCAAACTTGCGTTCAGGAGTGGATTTTATCAGCGTTTCAAACGCCAAACGCTTGTAAACGCGGCTAAGGGTATTTATAAGCGTTTGCGTTTGGCAATTTTTTTTAACTCTTCAATATCCAGATGCTGTCCAGAGCCTTTTTTCATCACGAAAAATGCATGCAAAGCGTTTTCCTGGTACTCAAATGGACCTGGTGCACCTTACTTTGAGGTTCTGCATGAAAGAAAATATGTTACACACTGCTGCAATCATTTCTCCACAGAAATGAGCTGGAACACATCCAAACACCACAAAAACAAAAAAAAAGGTCTAATCTCAACAAACACTGCTCTCTCTGCTTCTGCTGTCTCTAGTTCTCTCAAAATGTCTGAAATAGTTAATTTTTTACTGGTTTTCAGTGCATTCTGGGCATTTTGGAAGGTCTCCTGAGGTTATCTTTAAAAACTCTTCTAAACGCAAAGACTTATAAATGCGGCTAAACAGACATTTTTAACCAACGATTTCCAGCAGTCAGTTTCCATCATTCAGAAGTGTCCCGTGTACATGGGGCCTTAATGCTGATAGAAAACCTAAAGTTTTAAAAACTGGTGGCTTTTTCATCTTTAGCCCTGGTTCACACTACCGTGGCTTTGAAGTCATGCTACTTCCATGCGACTTCAGAGCCGACTATCAGTGCGATTTCATGTGTGGCTTGCTGACATCTATGCAAGTGCATTTAACACATGTCAATGCAAGTCACACATGAATTCACACAGAAATGATGCAGGAACCTTTTTCAAAGCGGCTTGAGCCAAATGGGGTGCGACTTGTCATGCGACTTTGAACTGCCAAGTTGCACTGGTGTGAACCAAAGCTTAAAGTGTTACTAAACACAGGAACCTACCTAGCCAGCACCACTAGCTATAAAAATCCTCAAACATTCTGCATCTGAAAGTACTGGAACATGTGAGCTGTACACCAATGTCATCTTTTCCCAAGCACCTTTATTCAAACCACCAGCAGCACGACAGTACGCAAAGCATGCCTGCCCAGGCACCGCCCCTCCCACGCATTTCACCGCCATAAGCTAAAACTGTTAGTAAACTCAAGATTTACCCACATGGAAGAAAAATATATTTGAAATACTACAATTTTGGCCATATTCAATATATTTCAAAATATATTTCAATAAATATATATATATATATATATATATATATATATTGTGGCAGAACGGTATCCTGCCACGGTGGAAATCATGATGGACACCCAGGATTCTCAACTATACAGGTTGAGGGGCTCCAGGCAGATCTCATAATGCAGAGGAAACTGGTTTATCAGTTTCCTCTTTGGTTTGTAAAGCCTGTTTTGGGACCTGTAGCCTGGAGATTTCTAAGAGAATTGGAGGGATGAAATCTCCAATTCTGGGCCCATATTTTGGGAGCAGCCAGTGCGCTGATTGCACAGGTGTGTGCAGGCCTTTTAGGGGAGGCCAGGCCATGATTCTGAGCTCCACCCCAGCAGACAGGAGTCAGGAGGGCTCCACCCCGGCAGACGGGAGGTCTCTGCCTTGGAGTCAGGTGGAAGCCAGACTAGCTGTGTGCTAATGCCATATTTTGGGAAGACTCTGCAGGAGACAGAGTTTAAACTGTGTACAAGCCAGGAGGCTGAATACTGTTAATTTGATTGATGGTGGATACCCCTGCGTGGGAAGCATTTTTGTTGGATATTCTTTAAATAAAATTGGGCAAAAAGGCCCTTAAAAAGAAGCGAGTTGCTTTGTGCTTTGAAGAAGCTCTACCAGTAGAAGCGAGATCCACAATATATATACACTGTATGTTGAAATGCGTTTTTATTACAAAATATATGAAAAATATTTTAAAAATACATTTCAAATGTACTGTATGTCTTTAAAAATACAAATCAACATTTTTGGAATGCATTTACAAATATATGTAAAAATATATGTTAAAATGACTTTTTTTATATGTTAAAAAATCTGAAGAATATATTTAAAAAATATATATTTTTAAAAATATTTTTCATATATTTTGTAATATATAATAAACACATTTCAACATGCAAAATAAATATATATATATATATATATATATATATATATATATATTATTTTTTTTTGAGCATTTCAAATATATGTCAATGTATTTTGGAAGAATATTTTTAAAATATATTTCAAATATATTTTTCTTCCGTGTGGGTATTTAGTAAATATAGACTGCTAAATACCTTTTCTCATAAGCAGTATATAGCAGTCTGCTATCAGTGTCCATATGAGCACTGGTTACAGCTTGTAGGAGGAGTTTTCATTCTTTTCTGACTGTCCTGTGAGGCTGTATAACCCCTGACCCTCTGTCTGGACAGTTCTGATTGGCCATGTGCTGATCACATACACCCTTTCCAAAGAAAAACAATCTTTAGCTATACACACCAAACTGAGCATGTGCAGAGTGTCTCCTAGGGATCTGTACTATCAGCAGATGGATTGGGGGCAGTAGAAGAAGGGGAGGATCAGAGAAGACAGGATCAAACTGCCTTTTTTACACAATGTAGAGGATTAACCCCTTAGGTTCCACAGTGAGTATAACAACCATGCGTTACTGGATATAAGACTGATTCTACTGTTGTGGTTTAGTAAAACTTAAAAGCATATCAAAATTCAAGAACAAAAAATAATAGTAGTCCTTTTTTTTCCCTTTACTTTAACCTGGTAATCTTGCCACTAACTCATTTCCCTAAGGTGACAACTGTACTGAGCAGCATTATCAGGGAGTGTGTTAGGTGTATACTGTAAGTGTGCAGTATTGTGTTAGAACTACATAACACCTCCCTCCCTTCACCATAACAGGAAAGTGTATTATAGACCTCGGAGATAGCAGAGAACAATACTAACTGATACCAGGTCAGAGACCGAGAGTACAGGACGTTAGCAGCTCACAAGATTTCTGTCTGAAGCAGAGGTATATTTAACTGACCGAAAGGGAGCAAGAAAGAAGTTTAGGCCCAGTTCACACCTGGGCGACACTGTGGCATCGTATTTTTAGAGCTTTGTGTGTTTTTGGAGTGGCACCATTCAAAAAAACATGCAAATGCTACCTGCCTTTGGGGAGCCATTAAGAAATAATGGCACCACAAGCTTGTCAGTCGTTTTTATCAGCTTTTTGTGCGTTTGCAGAAATGCGGTCAGAAACGCTTAATTCTGCTCTCTCGTTTCTGCTACACACCCAGCTATGAATGGGGCCTTATTGTTAGATTACATATTCTTTAAGATGAGAGAATGTTTTTATTTATATCGGTAGTACAATTTTTATTTCCTTTAAAGTGGAACTTCACCCTCTTAATCAATATTGACTATTTTTAATCCTTATGCTTTAAAATAGGCAGGAAAGGATATCATATTTACTTGTTTTAAACCTTTTTTTCACATTTCTTCAGTTACTTCCTGGTTTCTAGCCTAGGCAAATGATGTAATACATCCCAGGAGTCTTCAGGAGGGGAGGAGGGGGTTTTCTCAGCTCAGCACACCCTCCTGCCTACATGCCTGAGCTAAGGACAGATGGATGCCAGGAAGTAAATGCTAAATGAATCATCTGCCCTTAGTCTAGGTTCACACCTAAATGTTTTGCGGTGCATTTTGCAGAAACGCCCTACAGTCCATTTAACATGATGGGACAACGTTCACATCTCCGTGTTTTCACCTGGTGTGTTTTTGGAAAGGGTCAGGGACTTAAAAACGCAAAACTTTGCATTTTAGTTCAATAGACTTCAAAGGAGATGCTGCAGAAATGCATGTAGTGTGTTTTTTATGCATTTTGCGTGTTAATCTGCCCAGCAACAAGTTGGAAAAAAAATGCAAAACGCGTCAAAAGCGCGTGAACAACACATGACACACAAAACGCACTGTAGAAACGGATCAAACGCAAACTGCAAAGGTGCGAACTTAGCCTCACTCAAGATGGCTACAGCTAGAAATGCTAGGGGGTTTCAAAGAGATTTCTCAGCAAAATAAAGCATGGAAATATAGGTGGATGGGTGATTTTGATTTGAATACTAAAAATGAATTAAATTGCGTTTTTGGTTTCTGGTGCTCAGATGCAGTGTAGTTCTGCTTTAAAGAATAGAAGTAGAGGTGAACCTTTTTTTCATTTTAGATAGAATATCAAGTTTTTTTGCACACCTGTGTTCCATTGGGGAGATTTCCCTTCACATTCTGTTCATAACTAAAACAGGAAGTAAGAGGAAATCCCTCCAGTGAGGGAATACCTAGTTGACACTACCTAGTTGACACTGGGAAAGAGGTGGGCAAAGCATACCAGGAAGTAAAAGGACAGATAATCCTCTGCCCTTACTGCAAATGGCTTCCAGGACATTGGCATTTTAAACCATTTTTAATGGTGCCACCATTCAGGTAATGTTAATTTTTAAAGCATTACTAAAGGTACAAATACTCACTTATGCTCCAATAGTCTGATGCCCGCGAGGTCCCTCACCGTCACCTGTATCTTCTACCCGGCTGTCTTGATTGGCTGGAGTGGGATGTGCAGTCATCCCGGCAGTCATCCCAGCACATATAGAGTGTTCAGGAAAGTAATCTAAGCTGCATCTATGCAGGTCAGTGTACATCCTAGAGGGGTTGCACACAGGTAGGTAAGTATCGCATACTAGCACATTATGAAGGACTTACCTTGAAACAAAGCCCGCCAGTAGAGCTCTGTCGTGGCTCCCTGGGGCTTCCATCCTCACCCAGTCTTCCTTCCGTGTTCGCGAGCTCTGGCTGACTGGCTGAACCGCGATGACATCACTCCCCGCGCTGGAGTCTCGGGCCACGGCACAGTGCTCTTAGGGAATGGCACGGGTATGCCGTTCCTTCAGAGTGCATGCACCAAATATCAAAAAGGGCTAATATTGCCTAAACGGTTCACATTTAGGAGATATTAATTCTATTTATATATGTTTATTTCAGGTACTTATATAGCGCCGTCAATTTACGCAGCACTTTACATATATGTAGCACTGCCCCTTGGGACAAGCTGGAATATATTATGGGTCCTGCGCTCAATAGATCCAACCCTAAGCAAACCCAATCCCTCTGGCACAACTGGTAATGAATAGCAAATACCCCGCCAAGAAATTTGCTGACACAGGGTTAAATGAAACGAGAACAATTTTATGGAGAATGAAATGCAGTGTAGAGGGGTGGGGTTCCCCTTTCAACTTCAAAATTTACTTTTCTTCTTTTTGCAATGCAGTAAATTTGGTCTGCCACTAGAGGGCTTCACAGCCAAGAGTCTCCGGATGGCAGAGTTGCACTTTAAGCAGAATACAACTGATATCAAACAAATAAACTTACTTATACTCTATCAATGAAATGTATTACCCACACCGGTGTATGATTCTGCTTCTGAGGGGCGTTAGCCAAAAAGCAACTCAGAGTCAGAACAGAATGCAATAAAGAGGTACCTCTAATAAGGCTACTAAGCCAGATTCCCCCACTTCAGTCCTTGTAACGGTGGAGCTCTAGTTGGTGCACGTTTAGTCCTTACAATTAAGTAAATAGCAGCTGAAGGCTTCTTTGGAGTTTCAGCTGGTGTGGGTTACATCCAATTTCACTAGGTTTCTGGGCTGAGAGGGTCCAACCTCAGTGTCTAAACGCAACACAAAGCACCCCAAGACCAGGGGCAGTCGCAGGATGCAATCTCCCAGTATGTGTCAGTCCCCGGGGCAGACAGTCTCAATTACACTGGTGGTGAGGGGCAAAGCAGGCAGAAGGATCTGTGGCTTGCACAGGGCCCCGGATGGGTGAGATCCCAGCAGTGGGGTGTGGATGTCCCAGTCTATATGCAAAGTGTAAATGGTGTGTCTTACTCTCTCCAGTGGGACAGCTCACCAGACTCTGAACACACAGCAGGGTCCCTCTATCCGCGCTGGGTGCTGTAGTGCCTCCTCCTCTGCTTGGACGGGCTCCACATGTCCCTGTCTTTTTCTCCAGCCTCGTGTCTCTCTGTTCTCCCCTTCACTTCCTGCTTCCTCCCGCTCCCAGCGTTCTTTGCTGTGTAGTGGATGAGTCATGAACTCGGCAGAATGCCCAGGTTTTACAAATAGGAGAGAGAGAGAAAGGACTGACTGCTGAACATGTGATTCCTTCTGAATCCTCTTGTACAAGGAGCCTGCTACATATATATTGTACATTCACATCAGTCCCTAACCCTCAGGGGCGTACAATCTAAGGTCCCTGACTCACATTCATACATACACAAACTAGGGACAATTTACAGGATATATAACTTTATTATAAGCTTGCCTGTGGGTAAAATTATTAAATAAGAATTTACTACCACTTTAACCAGTCCAAGGGCCCATTTACACCGTTTGCAATGGGATGTTCTGGTCAGCGTTGCCCAGTACACGAAGACGAGACAATTTGCCTTTTTCCTATGGTCATCATACCTCCCAGCTTTGTAAAATGATAAAGAGGGACATCTTTTAGCACACAGTATGTGGGCAAGGGACACGTCTCCACACGGCCCTAGTTACACCAATTAAAGAGATCTAATATGCAGAAAACCTCTTTTTTCTTTATATTGACTTTTAAAAATAACAAATGCAATAAGATAGAGGCTGCATTTTATCAGTGCAAGTAATAAAATAGTATATTTTACATCAGACCAAAAAGAGAGAGAGTGATTTGGTCTCAAAAGAGGGACAGTCCCCGCAGTCAGTTCACACCACTGCATTATGTTGCTGAGCGCCGCTTTCCAACACCACTGTGTGAATAGAACTTAATGAAATATCACTTGTAACATTTCAATAAAATTCTCCCAAAAAATTGTAAACACTATGATGTGCCATGATTGGCATTTTGGCACTGTGTCCTCCCGCTGCACACCAATGGCCATGCATGAATAGACCCTCATTCTCTCTTCATCGGGTCACAGTTGCCTTCCTCCTTTGCTCAACAAAAAAGTGCCATTTCCTCTATTTCCTGCCCCAGTAAACTTGCAGGAAGTAATGGAAATTTTCCCAGTTTGGACAAGACAACAATAATAACACTAACTCCTTTGTCACTCTACCCAAGAACCTAAACATTTTGGCTGGAGTCCCACTTTAATTATTTAGCACTATCCCCTTGGGGGTTGGTAAGAGATTTGGGTCCCCCTATAGTCCTGGAATTTTTCACAAGATTCTCTTTTGTAGCACAGTCTCTGTTGGAAAGCTAGCCAGCATCTCCTTTGTGTACCACCCAAAACCCTAGATGAAATTCTCCTCTTCACCCAGCAATCTGGAGGTGTTTTTCTTCAGCAGGGGATCTGGATCCTGTCCCTTTAAATAGGTGAACAATCACTAGTAGAGGCTAATCTGGTTTCCCACCAGAGTGCTCCTTTCCTTATCTGCCCAGGGAGTGCAGGTGTACTCACTCAGATCCTCTCATGTACTGCTTGTGGGTTGGCTGCTGATACCAGGCCTATCAACTGGGCTGCTCCTTCCTTGCCATACAGGTGGTCCTCTCTCAGGGGCCCAGTGACTTCCAAGCTTTCCTCCTCTCCAGCTCCAGGCTCGCAGATAGGCCCCATCCCACTAGGCCTCCTGGCAGCCTCCTTACTCACAGCCTCACATCTTCCTCTCTTACTCTTCCAC